GGCTTCCAGATTTAGAAAATGCAATTTGTTGTGGAATGAGTATGGGTCCATTCCCACAGGCGTCATGGGAGGGGAGAGAGGGAAACAAAAAAGAGAGAGCGAGCAAGAGAGAGCGAGCGAGAGAGAGAGAGAGAGAGAGAGNCCTCAACTGGTGTTTGTTCATCCTGGCAGCTGGTCCTCGATGCCACCGCAAAAGAGACCTTAATGAAAATGGGATGAGTTCATGCCTAGCCGAGGTTTCACACCCCATATATTACAAGGCTTTAATCCCAATATTGGCAGATTAGAAAGCCTGGGAATCCCAAAGGGGCAGGTTCTCAGTCTCCATTAGGGGCAGTTTCTTTTTCATCCTGCCTTTGCTTTTCAGAGACAGTTTCTCATACTTTTCCTGCACTTGGAGCTGAAAGAGATTGATGCCTTGAGACTTTAATGGGATTTCTGGTTCTGGCTTTGTGCAGTCCAGCAAGTCCGCCTTCCTTCGCTGGCAGGGCTATTGAATTCAAAGGCAAGGATAGTCTGATTAACAGAAGTAGAAAGAAAATTAGGATCTTAGTAACTCTTGTATCATTTGCTGGTACTACAGCAGCAGCCTCGGTCTGGTGTCTGTGGTAGACATAAATCTCAGGAGCGGCATCTTAGCCCATTGGGAAGTTGTGCACAGAGCAACCAACTTTCATCTTATGGTGTCTACTATGGATGGAAATCTTTTTCAACCTGAAAATTGCAGAATAGTTTAGATCTTTGATAAAATTGCACATTGCTCTTTTCAAGCTCATTGGCCAATTCCAATATTAGTAGTAAACGTTCTGAAGAAAACAACTTTTGTAGGACCTCAGGGCTAAATATTTTTTCATCAGATCACTGTAAAGTTCTTTTAAAATCTTCAGATACTGAGTTATTTTATTGGTAGGAAAAATGATTTAGTTTGATCTTCCAGCACTTCCCCCAACCACATCAATGCATGCTGTCGACTTCCGATCAAACTGCTAGGGAGGTGGAAGAGCGTTATCTATTTGAATGCAAGCGCAGTGCCCCAAGGGGAGAAGCTTATCAATGAATCTCTTTATTGTTGCCCTTGATTAATTTTTTGGGGTGAGGGGGAGAGAAGGAGAGTAGAGAGAACGCTGGTTTCAAAGGTTTGAATAGCTGTCAATCATGGAAGCCCACACGCTGGTTCCTTCCAGTGCCAAACAATATTATACATAGACACGCGCGGGCGACTGTTGCTGCTTCATTGGATTGAGAGGTGTTTGTGTGTGTTTTAATTTTCTTTTGCAATTCTTGTGCCTGCTTTAAACGGCACTTTGGCTCGAGTCTTGGGAGGCAGATTGATGTCACTTGTCATGTGGATTATACGTGTGTGTCCATTCATTTATGTATATGTGTGTGTGGAGGTACACACAGACACCTTTTAAAATATTCTTCTGGCCTTTAAAACATTTGCTGCAACTACAGTGAATAGCTGAGGAAGAGCGGCAAAGGACAGGATATGATTTGAAGGTCGTCATTAAAAGGACTTGTCAAGTCAAACCAGAGGAGTCACATGATAAGAGACCCTGAGTAGCCCGGCTCTTCCGCTTGATCTGCGCTAGATTTAAGGATACGACGAGGCCATCCCTGAATGACAAGACGCACGCACGCACGCCTTCACGCGCGCGCACCCCCTCACGCCCGCAAGTGATGCCGTAGAAGAGAGCACGTCCCGCAACAATGCTACAGTGTTGGGATGGTGCAAAGCCACGGCCTCAGCAAATACCCCACATGCACACACACACACACACCCGGCCAGAGTAAAGGGCCTTTCACCGCTTAGTCTCAAGGCGTTCGAATCTAGCGACCATTTGACTTTCTAATGAGCGTAATGAAATTACATGCCTCCTGGAAGCGTTTGTGCCAAGGAGCCATTCTGTGTTTAATGAGATCCTAATACCGGATCATCGAATTGTAGCTGGGCTATTCAACCCTCCGCTTTCGCCTCCAGCTTTGCCTTCGAGGCTCTCGACAGTTCCATAACGTTGCCGGCGGATTTCCCCTGCCCCGTTTCCTGTGGGGGTAGGCGGGGGCGGGGGCGGCCCTGCTCCTCTTCCCGCCATCCGAGATTGCCAACGGAGGGCAAGGGAACTGAAATCTGGCTAATTGCCCTTTGAAGCGATGGTGCCAGACGGGAGGCATGGGCCACTTTGCCAGCCTATCTAGGTTAATGCAATTAGCCTACCCGAGCGGGTGATGAGTTCCTGTTGCTTTCCGAAAGTGCCGGCGTAGCGAGGGGTCATTAGCTGTTTTGGGGCTCCGAGGAATGACCGCGGTTCCCATTCGCCTGCCTCTCCCCTCCCCTCCCCCGGGTAGGAGCAGCAAAAACAGCGCTGGATCAGACACACTAGACCCGGGCTAGGCAGCTGGGCTTCTCCCGCCGATCCATGGCGTCTAACATGGGAAAATCCGCACCTGCGGCCTTGGCCAGCCGCGGAAGCAGAAGCGGCTGAAGCAGCCTCGGGGCAGCCAGAAGTCCCCACCGCCTTTGCGGCCCTCGCCGTGGGGTGTGGGACTAGCTCTAAACTACACACCTCCGACCCTGGGAACTCCCACTGTGCCGCGCTCAGTTCAGCCTCCTCGCTAGATCGATCCATTTCGCAAACTAGGTTTTCATTCAAGGCAGGACCGTGGTCTCAGATGAGGATATCCTGTTTGCAGGGGAGGACCGGGGGGGGGGGGCTACTTTTCGGACTGTATCTAATCCATGCCAGGATTATTTTTCAGAGGAGCTGTCCTCCTGCAATTCCCCTATACACACACACTGTGGTGGAATTTGGGGTAGGAAATATAGCAGATAAATTAGGGCTACCTGTGCTGGAAAATATTTTGTAGGTTGTTATGTTTTCCTGTGCCTTTAGGACAGCTGCGGATCTCACTAACAGTGTTGTAAGGTACATTGCCTTTATAACTAAGTTATACACTGGTAAGCTGAAACTTACAGAGAATCCTATAAACAACTGTCTGCTACATTTACCTGTAAAGTTGAATCTGATCATAGGGATTCAAGTCTCCAGTAGTATAGAGGCCTGTTTTTCACTTGTTCCTAAAAGTGTTGAAGGTGCTGATGTTGCCATTGCTGTTTGCAATTATATTTTTAGAAATAGGAGTAGCCTTATTTTTAGCTATCTGGTTCATAAAACCTTAATGAACACAGACTTTTGAAGAGTATCTTGTGAAATTCTTAGAAAGACATGACCGTTTCTCTTTCCTTCCCATGAACATATGTGAATATGCAGAATCATCTCTACTACAATAATAAAAACAACTTTAAAAAAATAATAAATTCATAGAATGCAAAGATTAAAAGGTATTAAAGTAAAGATACTTTCTCTAAAATAATCAAGTGGAATACCTAACTAATAAAAAGGACAAATTCTCATCAAATTTGTCACAGGAAAAATACTGCTGGCACCCACTCTGCAGACTTGATTTCTTCAGAGCCTCATGTACTTATGGATAAATCCCCAGTTTCCAGTTACCTAGTATTTAAAGCATGGGACATCAATATTACATGATTCCAAGAGATAACTGCAAAAAACATAAAGGATAACGAACCTCATGTAGCTCAACCTTTTGCTATCTGCTAGCAGTCTGTAAATAGGCAACCCTCAACACACAGCATTACAATGTCTTCTTGAAGTTATTCGGTGAAGTAGGGCTCCCCCTCTTTCTAATAAACTTGTTGCATTAATTCACTACAGTACTTACCTTTAGGACATGCTGGTTTTCATGATGGATGATGGAACCTGATTCGTTTCTGAGCTAGATACTGATAAGTGGTCCAATGAAATTCTTCTGGTCCTAAGCCTCCAGTGATTTTACAAACCCATTAGAAGTATTAGCTAAGCAACATTAATGAAAATAACAGTAGTAAAATGGGTTGCTGCTATAAGGAAACAAACTTTCTCACACAGAGAAATATCCTTTAGCGAACTAGCAAATTTGGATTACAACTTTGTCCATTGGATGTCACCCAACTTTATACCACCCATAACTTATTTTTGAAATTAAAAGCTGATTGGAATATTTCAATGTAGTTACCAGTTTTTTAAACATTTCACAAATCAAATGAAACCACAAGAGTTTTTTCAGCTAAAAGATTTCCTAGGAAAGCTATAATCCCAAAAAGCATGGATATGTGATTTAAAGTTCCATAGTTGCCAGTTAACTTAACTAGGGATTCTGGGAACTATAATCCTTATGCATCTGGAAGGTACTGGGTTTCTCCAGATAGTAATATAAGATTACAATTTTGCAGCACAGAATCAATAAGAGAGATGGTCTTTAAATAACAAATTTATTAACTGAATAAATTTATTAGCACACAGTTTATTTGCTGAATCCTGCATCAAGACATCTCCTGTATCCGTAAAAACATCCTGTATTTTATAAACAATTTAATCCAAAGTTCTACCTGAGAACAGATCCTCCTCCAAATAAATTCATTTTAATTGAAGTTTACTAATATTTTAATATAATTAACATGTTCAACAAGTGGCAATATATTATGTTCACATTTCTTGGGAAGTATTTTCCTTTCTAACAAAGCAATTTTGCCAAAGGTGCTGGTGAATGAATCTACAAGTATTGCATATTTTAACATTAGGATAAATTATATAAATTATACATTCAAAAAAGATAGCTCCATTCCCCCAGCTGTTAATAATAAATAGGAAAAAAGGTGATTGCCCTTAGAATACTTTTTGTATTGTAAAACACCTTTGAAAATATGTGTTATTAAATAAAAATGTTCCAATAAAGGAGAGTATAGGTAGCTCAGGATTGGAGTTCTTTGGGCTAAGTTCGGTTGTTTGCTTGCAGATGTTTCATTACTCAACTAGGTTCACATTGTTACCTAATCAGGTACTGAAATGTCTGCAAACAAACAACCAAGCTCAGAACCGAGAGCTCATACAACTGTATGCTGGCAAAAATATTGATATTTTTAATGTAATAATGTTCTCATGTTATGATATGAAATCAAAAGGGGGCTCATTTTCAATGTTGTTCACAGATGATTTGCTGTTTAACTTCCTGGGGTCTTCTGGAGTCCAGACTTTAGCAGTTCTAATAATGTTTTGTTCCTTGAGTTGTTTTTCATCAGTCCAAGAGAGTGAATGCCCAGCAAGAGGAGGAAGTCCATAATCTGGGTCACTTGGAGAAGGTGATCCTGGAAGGAAGATAAACAAAGGAAGAGGGAGAGCATTAGACTGAACATTCACACCATATTGGAATAAACATGCTGTGGGCAAGTAGATGGCAATATAAATTTTCCAAATAAATAAGGGAGACTTCCCACTTTCTGTCACACCTGTGACAGGGACTCAGCTAACTGTGGCATCATTTGCTGAGTATATAATGTAGTCTTAAGCTCACTTACCACTTCATCTACCTGTTGGATAGTCTTATCAATTTAAGGAATTTAATACTTGCATTAACCCAGCATGATCCTTGGGAGAATGCAGCTTCTCTCCATAGCTAAAGAATAGCGTTATTTTTTTTGCTGCTCTTCAGATGTGTTGGACTAATCTCTATTATAGCCATGCTGGCTAGGTATTTGGAAAGCCAAAATCTGGAGGACATTAAGATGGATAAGCAGAGGCTTATCATGGGCAAGGGCTTCTGCAGAGGCTATCTAAGGAGCACCCTAATTTGGATCTCAGCTTCTTTTGAATGCATGCAGAAGAATACTGTGTGTATTGTTGGGTTTCAAAAATAATAGTCTTATCAGTGGTGCAATGATTTGGATGCAAACAATCTACAGACTCGTGCAAAATACGTGGCCCCTTAGAATTTAAATTCCGCCTCGAATGAGTGTATCCTCTTAGGGTTTACCCCCGTCTAAGGATCGCCTTTGAGTCGGTGCAAGCACATTTCACTAGCAAACAAAGGAAAGGATAAAGTTTCCGTGTGTGCTCGTGCATACACTTGTGGGTAGCAGCAGTGATAACAGCCACCGACAGACACGTCCATGAGAAAATCCGAGTGCGAATGGAATGCTATTGGATACCCATTTTGTGCGCCAAGTCAGGGAGTTTCAAAGCAAAGTTTCGGGCTGCGACGACCTCTCACTGCTTGGGTGGTGGGAATGAATTTAAGGAAAGAGCGGGGCGCGTGAGTTTGAGGACGGCCGTCTGCAAGGTTTCTACAGCCGCACCGAAGCCACTGTGGCCAAGGAATCCCCCTCTCCTCTCTTCATTTGGAGCACGCTTGACCGGGACGGGAAGTTCACCCTGCACTTACTTGTGCCCCGGTGGCAGATGATAACCTTCTTGGGCTGGCATGGGCTCTGGCTGCCAGCGCTGCGCAGAGGTAAGTCGGACTGGACCAGCTCGCTGAGGAAGTTGATGTAGCCGATGGCCAGGCGCAGAGTGTCCACCTTGGAGAGACGCTTCTCGTAAGGCAGCGTGGGGATATGAGAGCGCAGCCCCTCGAAGGCGTCGTTGATGGACTGCATCCGCCGCCGCTCGCGCACATTAGCCGCCTGCCTCAGTTGCTGCAACTCAGCCTCGGAGCGCACCCGCCGCCGTCGCCGCGCTGCTGCTGCCGCCGCAGCCGCTGCACTCAAAGCCTTGAGGCTGCCCCTGGGCGACGACGCCAGTTCACAACACTCATAGGTGAAACTGGCCGACGACGGCGAGGAAAAGGGCATCGAGAAGCTACCTGGATCCGCTTCACAGCACAGAGAGCCTTCCGGCACATTTTCAGACCCTGAGCCACCGCCAGCCCCGTCGCTGCGGTAACACTCGTGGAACGGCGGGCTCAGGAAGCCCACGTCGGCCTCCAGGAGTTCGTCACCTTCCAGAGGGTCGCGGGAAGACTGATCGGTGAAAAATTCCTCATCGTCAAAATAAGATTCTGAGGAGAAGGAGTCCAGCCCAGCAGGGAAGTGTTCCAGTAGTACCGATTCCATGCCGGATCTGCAAGAATGTGGCTGGGGAAAGGCGTAACGGGAAGCCAGTTGTGGGTGAGTCGCTGCCTTTTCTTTTTTTTGCCCCCCCGCCTCCGCCTTTGGCTCCTGCGGCGCTGCGATTTGCTACTGCTCTCTTCTGCGTATTTGCGCGCGTTCTCTCTCCCCGACGGGGGCTGCAGACTTATAGGAACTGAGGGCCGGCACGCGAGGATTCTTATAAGTACAACCGCAGGCGCGTGCCATTAACCAACATCGCCAGCCAATCAGGGCTCAGTGGAGGACCTCCCATGGTCAAGGGGGAGCGGGAGGGGGAGCATACACCTAGGCTGTTTCTGAAGGGGAGCGGGAACAAAGTATGCTCTCTTTTGGTGTCCTCGTTCGCGGATTTCCTTCTACCCGTCAGCAAACAGTTTAACGCGTTGGTACAGTTACCTCCATTGTGCTCTGGAGGGATCCTTGGAGTGCCACGAAGCAACTCTTGGCGAAGTTGGTGTAAGCAACCTGTCTTCAGGCTTTTCTACTGTCCCAATCTCACTCAGCCCTGCGCGCAAACGTCTATCACCCTCGCTCCATATGTGCGGAGGAGAGAGGAAGGGAAATCCAGTTCTGGTTGGACCCTGCCGGATCTACCTGCCTCAGTGTAACTAGAATCGGCCTGGGGAGAGGGGAAGACTTAATAATTCTAGTCTAAAAATTATGTCCTATCCAAATTCCCGTTTTCACGAACTTTTAGTATTAATTATCTTGCTTTTTCCTGACCAACCATTGCCTGGCTAAGACTCATTACCGCCTCTTTAAATAAGGTATTAGATAGATCGTCAAAAGGGAGAAACATAGAGGATTAATCGGAAAGCTTATTCTAGATTGTTAGCACTTGCTAGATAGAGATACTTGTCCAAAATGCTTTCTCTAGATAAACACTTAAGTCCCCTCCCCTTGCTGCCTTGGATGCCGGAAGATCCTGGTCATTCACTTCAAAAGTTTGCCATTCCCTCCACAGGGAACAAAGTCAAGGCCATATCCTTGAGTTTTGACACCTGGTGTGATGGTGAGAGCAGATAGCTGCCTTGAAGAGCCACAAACATGGAATATGGAGGCTCAGTCCTAAGTGTGTAGCAAAGCCAAATGGTGTGCTAACTAAAAGGCAGGTGCACTGTACATGTGTCAACTGAACCCAGTGTTTTCCAGTTACAAGTTTTGTAAAACTCAGACAAATACATTCTTGGTATATTTGTACAGCTCATTAAACCAAAATGTAGATAAATTGCTGTCCCTTACTATATGAACCAAAGTCAATTATTTCAACATATTGTTGTCCATATCTCCATTTTGTCATAGAAAGCAAGCCATGATTCAGCATCTCTGATTTACGATGTTGTGAATTGTCAAGTGAGAGAACTGCTCTGGTGGCCATTAAAATGTCCCATATTAATGGCACTTGCAACAAATCATAACTCACTTTTCTAACTTGAAGGTCTTTCACTTTTCCCTTCTCTTCTTCTCATGATGGTGCCAAAAGACATTGCTACCTGAGGCCAAGATCAAGACTGGTTTTGGTAAAGAGCTGCTGTGATGCCTAGGACAAATTCCTAAAATTGATATGACTTCCTTGCAAAGACAAAGACGGATGCCTCATTTTGCCTGTCCAGTGCTATGTCTGTAGCAGACAGATGTTGGGATAACTTCTGGGAGATCACAATTCAAATCCACCCTCAACCACATAAACTCCCTGGAAGACTTTTGGCAAGCCACCTCTCTCAGCCCAATCCTTTGAGGCAAAGGATTCTTGTTGGGGGGCGGAGAATGAAAGGCTCTTTTCATGAAAGGAGGTTTCTCTTGAAGAACAATATATCTAACAAAGAATAAAATAAATGGAAGGAAATAAGGTTGGTTCTGCTTTTCTATACTGGCAAAATATGTTTACTTTCAAAATGTATTTGCTCAGGGGCATGGTTTTTTTCTACTGCATGCCTATGCTCTTTACTCTGAATTGTATTGCTACAATTAAAAATACAGATTCACCAAATTATGTGCAATATGCCTGAGATGGAAGAATTGAAGAGTACTAATGACTGATTCAAGAGCTTATGGCTACCATCTCCACCAACACTACCTACTTCTGCATAAACCTCCTTATGGGTATGAAATTCACTTAGGCAAATATGGATAGTTTTTCAGCCCTGGAACATTTAATACTATTCCACACCTGGAACATTTAATACTATTCCACACCTGGAACAGCAGGTTTTAGGTTTAAAACATTGAAGAGTTTCACCCACCTTCTTAGAAGTCCCCAAAAAGTTTAATTGCAAAAACAAGGAAGGCATTTTGGCCTATGGATGGAGTGCTGTAGAATTAGAAATAACCCATTGAGCAAATAGAAGGCTTTAGGGTGGTTTGACTATACATGCAGCTCCTTCACAAATTAATTACATTTAATTAGATTACAGCTGTTTCATGCAAGACAGGGCGACATAGGCAAAGCAAGTAGTTTGATCAAGTAGAAGAAACAACATATTACAGGCTCAAAAAGTAATGCAATCTTATGTATTGTGCTAATATCACCTCTCTTGGAGGATGCACAGATCTTCAAGCCTTCCTAGATAATAATTGTAGAGCAATGAATGGATCTTTGCCACCTACCAATTCAATAATACTTTCACTTCATCATGATTTTGATTCCTTCTTTGTTTGGGAAGGGAATGGGTCCAGCTCTGAGACATTCTGAGAATTAAACCTTTGTTCAGCACCAGGCTGCTTTTCTGGATTTTGTTTTCCAGTTATCTCAGCTTGTGGAGGTCTTTGAAGCTTGGTCATTCATCATACTTTGAAATTGTTTCCCCCCCCCCTAATGTGAAGATAGAGAAGCACTGTGCTCACTCTCCTGAAGCAGACAACACTGGATGTTTTCAACTAGACCCATCTTGAACAGTACAGGGTACAGATGAGATCCAAATGGCCCACCATCAGTTCTTTTCATTTATAAATTAAGATTTCTATTGTAAGTTGTAGCCATAAGTTGTAACTGCAGGATGTTAGGAGTTTTGAATATACTAAATGGACAGTAATAGGTATTATAGAAATAGGGTCTGACAGGAACCAGTAATGGAGAAAAGTTGGTTAGTGGGAGATTTTGCTTGGAGTTGCCCATTCACATTTCATAAAAATGGAGGATAAAAACTTTTCTCATTTCCTATTCTGCAGCAATCATTGCTACAATTTTAAAGTCAACACAAGTTGATTGAATGAATTCACAGCATAAGAAAAAATAGCCCAATTCCACTGATGGATGGAATACTCTGTTTGCTTTATACTCTCTCATTATATTCCACTAAGATGAATCAAGAAAGACCCCATGTATCTTTAAATTATGTAATTCATTAAAGTACTTCAAGATTTATTGAGGATTATCCATTTAGATAACTTTACCTATGCTTCTAAATGAGACTTGGAAGTAAATGTGAGTAGATTTCAACATACTTCACAAACTTTCAGCCTGCTGTAGAAACATCAATATAAATCCTCTGATCTAAAGAAAAGATACAAAACTAAATATTACTGAATAGTGGCCTCACTGGCCATATGCCAGAGGTCAGTCTTAGTTTCCAGCCAGCATACAAAGGGTAATGAGTAGGATTTCACATATCTCATGTACACATGGGATTCTCATAAGACCAACACCAGGCTGAACCTAGGTGACAAAGAATTCTAGTCTTGCTGTAGGCATAAAACCAACTGTCATCTGGGCCAGTCAGTCTCTCCAAGACCAAGAAGAAGTTTGCAAAGGGACTTATTGCTAAAAAGAATGACAGAAACCGGTCCAAGCAATTATCAGGAGTCAACATTGACTTGAAGGTACAAATAACGTTAAGAATAAAGTATGTTAAACCAAATGCTTCTAACTCCTTTGGGCAGACTTGGACTGCATGCAATCCTATTCATACAATTTGAAAGTTCTCAACAAAGCAGAATTTATTTCCAGCTTAATGAACATGCATAGACTGAAGTGCTGGAATGATTTTAGAAGTGCCTTAAATGTTGCCAACATTAAGCAATAAAAACTATTAGTGCCACACAGCAATCTCAGTATTTGAGTTTCTATCTGCAAGTGATTCTTGCCTATTACATCATGTAGAATTAATCTTAAATTTTGTTAGGAGGAGAACTGTAAATATTCTCTTTCCTTTGCTCTTTCCCAAACATAATGACTCTTTCATGCTTTTAGAATTGGATAACAGGATTGCTCAATGCTCCTTTGATCTAGAGTAGTAGGTGCAATCAAATAATCACTAGTCCTATAAGTGTCTTACTTAAGTTTTCAAGGTGCAACCTCCATGGTGAAACTGACTCTAAGTTAAAGATATCTATGATTAAAATGCTATATTTAAATCCCTACTCGTTCTAGGGATTTACTCTCAACTAAAAATGGTACAATGTGGCAGTGTGCATAGCTTCTGCAATGCTTCATAAAGCTTAACTTCTAGAGAAAAAACTGTTGGATTCTATTTGGAAATATCCATTTAGATAAAGATTTAAATTGGCTACTACCACATTAATTTAGAAGGAAAATAATCCAAATTTGAATAAAACTAACATAATTTTGCTTTAGTTTTATTTTAGCATACTTTGATCTGAGATACGTAGCTACTACTTCTTTATAAAAAATACTGATCTTGCAAATATCCTTAGGTATTACAGTACAGGTCTTTGAGAATTTACTGTTGACTGCTCAAAAAAATACTGGATATTGAGTCTTTCTTTCTTTCCTCTTTCTTTTTCTTTCTTTCTTTCTCTTCCACTCTTCCTCTTGTAAAGAGAGTACCCTTGACCCTTTCTTTTAGGTTGCTGCACAGAGGATTTTATAATCAGAAGATGACTATTTCTTCTTCATCTCTGCAGATAATAACTATTTGTAAAGAAATTGTGAGAGAATAGGCTGCCTACAAAATGAGCACCTGTGTTGCTGTTGTCCTCTCCCTCTCCCTAGCTAGCACAGCAAC